TACGTCCTGAATGCTTTCTTCTTTCTGCCTCTTTGTTAGAGCTGGCACCCCCAGACCCCCACTCCTTTCAGTTTGTGCCCTGCAAACACCTTTCACTCATGCTTGCATCTTGCTCCTTTTCCACTCCCAACTCGAGTTGGACGAGACAAGGTTTGGGGTGTGTACACCCATTGTGAGAGGGCGAGCGGTGGCAAGTGTGTATGCAGGGCTGGAGATAGAGCAAAAGGCCCGGCTGATGTGGAAGCAGCAAGCAGGGGGAGACTGATGCTGGGGAGAGATGAATGTTGAGAAGAACCAGCTGAGGAGGGAATGGGGAAAAGTTCTGAACTGCAGAAATGTAATTTGATAGGAAAACAATCAAAAGATGGGAGAGAAAGAGATGACCGGAGCTGTGGAGATGAAAGAAAAGGCAATGCAGGAGTGAGTGGGGGGGCTTGAAGAAGGGGACATCACAGAAAGGGTAAGGATTGAAGGAGAGAATTTCACAGGAAGGATAATGGCACTAGTGAACAATAGTAATGGCAGACACAAGGTGGGAAACAATGAACTGGCTTAACCAGTCAGGAACTGATGCTTCTGCCGTGCAGCAAAATACCCAAATGGAGCACCCTCCACCCCTAGAAGGGGCACTGACTGCCCCTTGTCAGGGCTAGGCTGAGAGAGGAGGATGCCAGGACCTGCAGGGACCTGGTTCCCCTTTCTTCCTCACATTCCTCCAGCACCCACTGGTGCACGGCAGCTTGTTGGTCCTGTGTACCGCACATTCACTGACTCCACAGCAGGGCTTTCTGAACCCTCCGTGTGCAACTCGGCAAGAGACAGAGAGTTTCTGTCAAGCCCTTGCATCATTAATGGTGGGCACAGGCGGTGGGATCAGCCTGCTCTCCTAAAACAGACCGCCTGCCGAGTGTGGTAGCAGGGGTGTCTGAGAAGGACCTCTCCTTGTCAGGAGCTAGAGACCACCCATCCAGCTTTGTACAAACTTGCTTTACCCAGCAGAGACTTCAGCCCCAGCATGGCCTGGCCACTGCCACCCACAAGAGATCCAGCACCCCTCGCCCTCCCTCCTTGCCCAGCTCAGGGAGGGCCTTACGGGACAGACGGCTGTTGTCGGACTGGTTACTGCTCTGAGTGCTCGTGCCTGGGTCATCCCTCTGGATTTGCTGCTCTTTGCTGGCAACAATCTCTGGTTTGGGGCGCCGGCCTGTGCAGAAGGGAGAGGTGGCATCAGTGACACGGAGACACGGCTCAGAGTTAATTTTTGCTGTGATGAGCGAAGAAAATATTCCCAGCCACGATGCCGAGGTAAGTACTCTCTGGACTCAAATGGCTTTAGGTGTTCAAAGCTCTCAGCCTGCAGGCAGGAACTAAAGCTAAAGGGGCAGGTTTGTCAAACTGTTCGTAGGTCCCCCTCATATTTAATTTTCTAAATCTCTTAATTGGTTTTCTTGAAATGTTGGTAGCTTTCTGCCTGAGAAGGTAGCAACTAGCACAAGACAGGAGCCTGAGGGGATGTGTGAGCAAGCCCACCACCATGGGGAAGGTTGCTACAAAGGGAATGCCATTCCCCACACCTGCTGGAGACATGAAAAGCAGCCAGGGGATGGGGGGGACTTAGCGTAGACATTTGGAACATCCTTTTAGTGGCAAAGGCAGCTCAGCACCAAGCAGACTACGTGGGAAGGCATGGTGTTTCCTTTAGTGCAGGACAAGCCTTTAAGGACAGATTAGGCAAACACCTGCCGGAAACAGCCCCCCCAAGGCTGATCCTGTCTCCAGGCAGAGGTTGGATTAAACGACCTCTTGACATCCCCACCAGACCTATTTTCTATGGTTCCGCAGGTGTCCAGCTGAGACACTAAGGGAGGAAGGGACTTACTCCAACCCAGGCAGGGGTGAAGCCCTGATTTTCCCCATCCCATTTCAGTCCCACCCTCCACTTCCCCTCTGACAGTCACCCTAAGCTGAGGGCAGATGGGTTTCCAGAGCAGAAACAGCCCCTTTGTCCTAAGGCTGGTGCCTGTGCCTCAGGGCTGGGGCAGGACGTCTTGGAGGGGCCCTCCCCTGACTCAGAGCAAAACACCCAGGGAAAGGTTTGACCTTTACCAGTCCGGAAGGTCACCATGGCCGTCTGTCCCTCGCCAGCACAGTTGTGAGCGGCCATCTCCACCTCGTAGAGGCTCCCAGGGTCCAGCCTGGTGAGGGTCAGGCGGTGCTGCGAGGCTGGGACGTCCCTCACCGCCCAGCTGTCCGAGGCGTTGGTGACCTGCTGAGAGACCAAGGCAGGCGTTGCAAAGCTGGGGGCAGGCTGGGCTTCTTGCCTGCACTGAGCTCAGAAACTTTCATGACAGATTCAGGTATCGAGCAGGGCTACCTTCCCTGCCTGTGCAGGAAGGAGATGTTTCCAGCCTAATTTTGCAAAGCTGAAGGATCCAGGTAGAAGGATTCATATATACATCTCTCCTGCAGCCCAGCTGCTGAGCTGCTCAGTTAGATGCTGGCCATTTCCATGGGATGAGGTACTCGGATATCGCGTTGGTCTCCTGGACCTAAGTCGTTTGGCTAATGGCTTTTTATCCAGTTTTATCCAGCTGGCACTTTCTGGCTGAAATGTGGAACCATAACATTTGAGCACCGGTTTCTGCAGGGAAGAGACTGTGTATGGCCATGGCCCCCCAGAAAGGCTTGGAAACACGGTTCATTTTTTGGTGATGCCCCAATGCCCCATGCAGAGGGGGAGGGAAGGTGGGACCTTCCTCCTTCTCCCCAGCTGCAAGGATAATATTTTTGCAGGCAAATAGGCAGGACACCGAAGTGACCCGGTGCTGAAAGGAGCATTAGCAAAGCAGGCAACGCAACAAAACGGAAATGCCAAGACTCTGCCGTATCATTCATCTTCTCCAAGCGTTTGACACTGACTGATTAATGCCTGCCTCATTTTATTTTTATTCCTGAGCCTGCAGAGCTGTGAGGCCAGGGAGGGGAGCCTTAAAGACTGCTAATATCCAGGAAAGAAAAAGAGAAATTCTTAAGAAACAAAGATAACGGCTGTGTGGCATCTGACTGCTTGCAGGCTGTGGAGATTGTAGGGGCAGTGTAAAAGCAGAGGGGGAAAAAAAAAAAAAAAAAAAAAAAAAAAAAAAAAAAAAAAGACATCCGCAGATATTTGCCAGAGGAACAGCAGACCCTTGCCCAGTACAAATGTAAGCCTCCTGTCAGTAAGTTTTACTTTCCTTATAGCCATCTTTCACACAAAGAGCCTTTTCTTTTGTTGCTGAATTGATTCCTTCCCTCTCCGCACACATGCTTTTCCAGTCAGAGATGTCAAAACCAGATCATTATAGAACTTGATCCTAAGGATCTCTGATAGAAAGAGACTCTTTCAAAACAAGTTTAAGGGTTATTGGGACTAATTCCTTCCCACACAATCCTTAACCATCCCAAGAAAGAGTCTCCAGCTGAGAATTTGGACTACACTGAAAACATATTACTGCAAACTGCAGTGACCCACGGTGACCTCCGCTGCCCTACAGCCCCTTCCAGGTGAAGTGCTGAAAAACAAATAAAATATGGACGAACTCCAGCCTGCAAGTTAAGATCGCACGCAGAATCGGTAGTTACATGATACGCCATTGGGGGACAAATCTCTTCTTGGCAGACAACCAGAGCCAATAGTCTGGTGAGGCTCTTGGCACCTTTTGTTTTTTGTTTAAGCTTGCCCTACTGTGTTCTTGCGTTGGCATCTTCTGTCTTTGTATTAAAGGGCTCTTTAAAGAGATGGTTAGCTGAAACCCTCAGCTTAAGTTTTGTTTAGAAAGAAATCAACGGCCTCCTATTATAGCGTATTAGGGTTATAACAGCCTCCTATTATACCATATTTTCACAAAATCAAACCATTCCAGGAAAATAGATACATATATTCACACATAATTGAAAACGGTGCCTTGCAGTGGCTGGGAATCTGAAACATGTCAGATCTGGAACATACCCAAACCCCAAAGCAAAACCTGCCCTCTACTGTAACTCCCTGCCTACCCAAAGGAAATACAAGCAGCAAATAGATAGATTCAAGTCCCTTTCCCCCCACTTACCCCCAGCAAAACAGGAAGAAATGCTCTACACCTCAAAAGCAGAATTTTTCCCTGAACAATGTTTCACTATTTGGAGAAACCTCTGGGCTACAGCTCTGCCTGCGCTCTGCCCCTGGTGCTGAGAAGCACCGCAGAGGACAGGAGCCCTGGGGCTCAAGCAGGGCTCAGCAGCGCACCGTGTGCTCACACTGTGCCACCAGCCAAGAGGCGTGCTCAGCAGCGCACTTCCTTCCAGAATAAAACTGGTGGTTGAGGACCTTCCCAGAGGATTTAGCATGGCAATGACGGCTCTCTGCCGGCTCCTCACAGTCACTGAGCGTGGGTGCTTCAGCGCTGCTGAGCAGGGCAGGTACGCGCAGCCAGAGGGAGGCCGCTGCTCTGTCCCCTGCAGCCCAGGCCTTTTGAGGCAGAAGCGTCCCCGTGGCTTGTGCCAAGACAAAAGCATTACAGAGCAAGTCACTGTGCAATCTGCCCTTGGGACTTCCTACCTGTGTAAGCACGTAACTGGGAATTGGACACGGAAGCTCTTCTGACTGGAAATACATCTGTGTGCCTACACCCTCTGCGTGCTTAGGCAGACGGGCACCACTATGGTGGTGCCATCTTTCTTGGACAGCTCAGCAAACCTCCTCTTGCAGTCTGTACTCATCGCGCCTCAACGGGCTGAGGCTGCAGCTGAGGAGGTACCACCAACCAGCACCACCAGTGAGTGATGGGTGCCCCTGCCCCAACACACCTGCTCACGGGGTGTGAAAATGTGCTGTGAGGCCACCAGCCTGCCTGTGGAACGGCACAGAGGAAAGATGGGAGCAGGGCAAAATAGCAATACCTTGCGATGCTTCACCACGTAATAGAGGATGGGGGCTCTGCTGTCAGGCCGGGGTCTCCACACCAGATCGTAGCTGTCCGTCTTGGATGTCCGAGGAGAACTGAGGATGATGGGGGCCTCGGCTGGAGACACCAGCTCCCTGTTGGTTGCACACTGTGGAGATGCTGCCAGCGGGGTCGTCCCAGGCTTTGGCAGCCCAGCTTTATCCAGGGGCAGCTTTAAGGCACTGTCCCTGGAAGGTGGTGTTGGAGGTTGAGCCGAGCCCAGCTGGGCATCTCGCCCAGGGCTGAGTGTAGCTCCTGAAAGACAAGGTGTCGAGGCAAGGTAAACGCCTGTCCCAGTCTGCAGTGAAGGCAGAGCTGCGAGCCCCTTGAACTTCCCAGAAGACAGGCACTATACACCCACTGCAGCACAGGTACCTTAAAGGTATCAGGTCCCAGGTGGTGCTGCCTGCTGGGCCACTCCAAAAGGTGTTGACAACAATCTCTCCTTCTCCTGCTATAAACCTAATGCACCTCATTGGGGCCTCTCTGAGAACAGGCCTTGGCCACACGGGGCTTCCTCCTTCTCTGAAGCCCCTCTCACCCTGGGTAAGTTCGGCAGGGTCCAAGGAATCAGGTGGTACCTCTCTTACCCCAGGTGAATCCCCCCACATCAGTGTTTATGCTCTTGCTCAGTGCAAGCTGAGAGGCAGAGCTGAGTAAGCCATGGGGACATCCAGGTGTCCTATGCCTCTCACGCAGAGGTAGCTCAAGCACGCACGCATGGCACTGCACTTAGAAGCCAAGCCGCTACCATCTGTTCCTACCGGGAGGTATGGAGATCCCCGTGAAAAAAGGCACTCGGGGTGTAGGCTAAAAGGGAGGGAAGCACAAGGCAGCTCAAACACAAGCGGGAGG